GCCTAACGCGGGTTGGAGCCTCGTACCCTAAGCGTGTAAAACATAATTTTACCAATTTGGCAACCGTACGTTGCTACCGTCGGATGAAAAAATTGGCTATTTAAGCTAGTTCAAATTTCAAAGTTATTTTTCTCGACTTAAAGAAGCAAACAAATTTAAATAAGTTTAACTTTCTATGCTATATTAATTTTAATTTCTATAATATTTATGAAAATCTGTACTCCCCTTGTCAGGTATTTTAAAATAAAATAAAATACAAAACCCAGAATTTTAACTCAAAAATAGCAAATTTTTTAATACGGTAGTCATTTTTACCATGAAGACAAATTCAGAGGTCAAATTTTTTTTTTCAAATTAAAGTATATTACATAAGCTTTAATTTAAGATATATATAAAAGTGTCAGTACTTCCGGAATACTTTCAAAAGTTATGTTGAAAAAGTTAATTTATTGTGAAAAAATTGTTATTTTGAATCCTCTACTGTGGGCAGGAAAAGGGTCAAATTTATAAAAAAAATATATAAAATGATAGTTAAAAACATCAAGCGTCTATAAAAAAAAAGAATTATGTTGATTCGGTTATTTTTAAAAAAGTTATGGCTCTTTTAAGTAAAAAAAATATAAAAAATTTCGAAAATTAGCGATTTTTAAATATGTAATTTTTTTGGAGGTTTCCCTCATTTACGGGGAACGAAGGAATTTTTTTCAATTTTTGAGGGTAATGTCTTCGACTAGATTCAATTTGTGATCGTTTGATGTATCATTGAAAGAAATCGGTTCGGTGAGAGCTGAGAAAAAGTGGTAACAGACACACAAAAAAAAAAAAAACACATCATAGTAAAACCAATACTTTCTCAGCTTCGCATCAAAGCTAAAATAAGATAATAGTTAAGTTAAATTAAGGGGATTTTATTAACAACAAAAAAAAATTTAAGTTAACACGAAGCAATAAACCGAACGGTCAAAAAACCTCGTTTACAAATTAAAGGAACAAAGAGAAATAAAAAAACAGATATTAATAAAAAAATATAAACCTAATAAATTATAATAAAAACCTACAAAAAAAAATATAATAAAAAAAATACGCCACACGTGATTATGGCACAGCGCACAGAAAAATTAATCTCGCTTAAAATATCTACAAAAAATATATTTATTACTAGCCCCAAAGGGCTAAAGAGTAGGAGGCAGGTTCAGCCGACGCCATAAAATTAAAAAAATTATATATTTAAAATAGTGGGCACTCACAAAAAAACAAATATTAAGAGAAACAATTGGTTGCAACGCACACAACTAAAAAATAAAAACACACCACTACGGACAAAAATTAACCCACGAATAGTTCCAAAATTGACTAATTTCCGACAAAACGTCCGTCGTTCGACCCAATGATCCGATTGCGACAACACGACTAGCCTTCAGAGTGGGGTCAACAAATTTTATTTCTCAGTGTTGGAAATTATTGAAAACAATTTGAGACAATGTATGTGGTGAGCAGTGAAAATGACGTTCAAGATAGGAAAGAAGCGGGGTGAGTGTACAAACAAATGCCGTCCATGAACCGGTCCGAAGTAGTACACAAATGACTATCTCGTACGCGCACAAAAAAATCACATCACCTTATCATGATTATTTAAATGTTAAACTCCGTCGCAGCACGCATTCGGCTCAACCAAGGTAATTTAGAACACATACACACACACATATATGTATACAAATAGACATCAAAACTAAACAGGTAATTTTTGTTTCGTTACATATGGAAATGCACATATCAAATTGAATTTAAGTTCATATTCGCTATTGTTCGCGCCGCAGAATAGGGCGACACTGTGTAAAGCTATCACATTTCATGTTGTTTTTTTTGTGATAAAAGACTGATTTTTTTTATGGTTATGGAACTTCATGTGTTAATGGAAGAAAGATGTTCTTCTGAATAAATCCTTTTTATATGGATTTTTTTTTGTTCTAAGCCAATTGTGGTTGCTCAGATATATGAAGAAAGAAGAAATAGGTTCTTCTAAATAATCCTTTTGTGGATACTTTGTTCTCAGCCAATTGTGGTTGCTCATTTGTCAGGATATGTGTACCTAACAGCAACATCATCTCAAGTAAAAATTGCTAAACTAAATAAAAGAAGTCAAACCATAAATTTGTTCCTCATCCACTTATGCATAAGTATTTATTAATGTAAATAACTTGTTCTTTTCTATTGGCAAGTTATAATAATATATTATATCTATATTTATATACATTTATACTTTTTGTGAATTGAGATTTAAGTCATTTAATATATTCCTTGAGAAATTATATATAAATGTTGTTAAATGTTTACTAACTGTTAAGATTATGTATCGTTTAATGTTATAATAATATATTTTTTTATTAACATTCATCTTTCATTATAGGAAAAAATAAATCATTCATTGTTTTATCAGAATATAATTATTGTTGTTCATCTCAAATGAAAAATTGTTTCTGTTATTTTACCAGTTAAGGCCTTGTGAGCCCAGTAGCCCTTTCAGCTATAGTGCGTACACGCATTCATAACATAAATATAGTAAAGAGTATTCTGTGTATCATAAATATATTTATAGTCAATCTTAATTTGTAAAACGCTGTTTAATGACACCAATACTTATTTATTAGTGTTAAATATTTATTGTAAAAATCGCAATTTTATCCTAAGAAATTTAATGTATGTAGGTTATTAATTACGCACTAAACAATTTAGAATTTCTTATCACACATTATGAATTTTAATAATAAAAAAAAACGTCGAATGAAATATTTATATAAATACTACTTTTAATGAAAAAATTGTATTGATCCATACATTTTTTAAAAAGTTATAGCATTTTAAAGTAAAAATTGTAAAATTTAAAATTGAGAATTTTCACACAAAAATAGCATTCGGTAACTATTTTATCGTGAAGACAAAATAAAGTCCGAAATTTTTTTCCATAATAAAGTACATTACATTAGCTTTAATTTAAGATATATATAAAAGTGTCAGATTTTTCGGAACACTTTCAAAAGTTAAGAGAGAGAAAAAGTGGTAACAAACACAAAAAAAAAAAACTCTTCTTAGAAAATCGCATCGAAGCAGAAAATGGTCTTAAGTAATACACTTTACCACGTATAAATAAATTTGGGACAGAAAAATTTTAAATCCATACTCAAATTTTTCATGATAATTTATTTTTTTGGCTAATAATATATTTTATGGAGAAAGAATATTTAATTTTTTCGACTGCTAAAAAATCACCATCTAAAAAGACAGTTGATCCGCTCTGCCGCCCTCGAATATATTGTATGCTGTCAGCTCATATTCGTGACAAGCTTGTTTTCGAATGTTACAAAAAAGATACTCCATGCAAATTTCTAACAGATTTGCGATCAATAGATATTTTAATTATTATTTACGTGTATAAAACATAACTAACTCTATGGTAAACACGAAAACAGTAAAGTTAAAATTTAAAACCATCAACCGTAAATAATAACAATGTTTTACTAAATACAAATAACCGACTGCTAATTGATATCCCGTGCGTCAATAACAAAGTATAAAATAACTGGTTTTGATTGTCGTCGAGGGAGCAACTGAAGGATGAGGGTAATCGGTTACCACCACACAACAAGAAATTCTTCACGTTAAAAATAACACTAGGAACCGACACTGTCGACGGACAAAAATTCAGTTTTTTGCATAAAAACTGTGTCGCACGAGACAACTTTCATAAAGTTGTATTATCACCAATATTTTTAATTTTTTCAATAAATTATTAAAGAATATAGAAGCTATTTATTGAACATTTAAATAATTAAAAATAGAAATGTTTACTAGTGAATGTAAAATACTAGAAATGTTGTTAATAAAAAAATAAAAGATATACGTCACATTTAATTTTCTCCTCTATAATTTGGTAAAAATTTTGGAACACTAGCATCAATACAGCACAAATATAGTTATACCTCGTAAAACATGTTTAAAATCGTTTTATTTTTTGTATGGCGTCTTTAAATAATGATTATTATTATTTATCTGTACAAACCATGTGACAAAATAATTGAACACAGTCTTGCGGCGCCTTGTGAGACACGATGCCCCGCGACCCTCGCTACCTATATCAGACGTTGACTTATTATAGGTATTTGATAGTTTGACTGACCAATACCGCGTGCCATTCACTACGATGCAAAGTTCAGCAAGTGCTCCGCGGCTGACGATGACCTGTCGCAAATGATTCCTGGAGTCTTCTTGCATTCGTCGAGGATATTCACCACCGGCTCTGGACGTGTCACACGACCGGACTCGATGAATCAATCCGCACCGTCACCATTAAAGCTGCTAACTTTTTGACGTCTGAAGACTTTGACGGACACCGCTTCGCTGACGCCAGCGAAAGTGCAACCATATTATGCGGAGATTATTATTAATTGTATTCGTCTTTTCGGTTCTTTTTAAAACAATCTGTTTTTGTCCATGAATAATAAACGGCGCACGGGTTTTTACAATCGAAACCAGTGTCGACTATATTATTGCATAATTATAAGTATATTGTAAGTAGTGTCATAATTTATAACAATACAACATAATTATGTGCTATTTGTCATTTCGCGATAATCAAAACTTCGCTTTTATTTTGTTTACTACTTTAATTCCATTGTAAAGGTCTGGAATCCCGATAAATATACAATTGGTTGTCGCGTTCGCATCGCATTTCCGGTGTTACTGCCGGATGGCGATCGCGGAGCTCCCTCTTCGCGTCCGACAGGTCACGCTATGCACGGTGGCCGACGGACGGTGTAAACCAAAATTATATTAACAACTTAAAAATTGAGAAATAAAAAATATTTATATATAAATATTAGTTATTGAATGTTCAGAATAATTATGAAGTAGAGTTATATTTTGCAAAAATTATAATCGTATTATTTATAATTAATATGAGCATTATGATAAAGTTGGATTGAAAAGAACAAAGATTTATTTAACAGACATTATATTTGAATAAATAATATACATACAAAATCGATTTAAACATTTAAAATAAATATATTATGGAACAATTATTATCAATGAAGTATTACAATATTTTTATAAACAATAAGTAGGAGTAAATTTGTATTTACGCACCCATTTTTTTCTCTCAAAATTATAAGAATAGATTCTAGATTTATCTAGCTCAATATCATTCAATGTGTTTTTTTTCATCTCTGAAACGAAATAAAGTTGTAAAATTATTATAAATACCCAAGTAGCTGATATACCCTAAAATAAATATATTAGAATAAATAATAAAAGATAAATTTGGCTACGTTTGGTGAACATAAAATTTAAAGATTCTTGTAATATACCATTAAATAGCAAAACACTTTTTTATTCATTAAATAATGATTTAATTATGAATATGACACTTTTAGATTAGTATTTCTGAAGTTTTTAACAAATTTATATATTAGTCAGAGGAAGGGCACGGTCGAGCAATGACAAGATATAAAAAAGCAGCACCCACACATCACTACCAGTCATTTTCTTAATTATATCATAATCTAATAAATTAGATAGACAATTATTCGTATTGACATTTTAAAATTAAACTGTAATAAAAATAAACCTAAAGGGTAGGCATAAATGTTTAAAAAATAAAATGATATAGAAAACAATAACACAAAAAATGGTTTTTTTTTACACAAAAATGTCATGTTTTTTAACTACAACAGTTATATGCACTCAAAATGTAAGGTATCGAGACATAGAAAAAACATGAATTTTACCCATTAATATTGTTAAAAAATTATTATTTTTATAAAATAATAATTTATTATAATTAGTTTTTATACTAACAAAAAATTAAAAAATAAAAAACATTCATAATTTATGGAGGACTTAAAAGTTAAAACTACTTTCATTTTAAATCAGATAAAGGGAAATCCATAGTAACATTGATAATAAAAAAACCCAGCACAGTGGGGTCGCGGCATAATGGAGACGTTGCATAGTTGGGTCCAATATAGATTTAATCTGACAGTGATTAAAATCACTATCATAAGAAACGCTTCGATGCAAATCTGTAGATAGTGTTTAATTTTAAAAAAATTGATAGATAATTACAAAAGCAACATCAACTTCTATTTCCTTTATTATACCCAGATTAGTAATTCTTTTAATTATATATTATATAATTTTTTAAATTGTTTTCATATTATTATTGATTTTGATTTTTAATATGTAAAAAATAATAATTTTGAACCTACTTTTTATTGTCCTTTAAAGTGAAAGTTTTATTAAAAAGAAAAATGAATTTATTACCATAACAGGTAGCTCAATTTGCAAGTTTGAAATTGACATTATTAAATAGATAAAAATGAAATTGTTAAGATTAATATGCTGTCAGCAAATTTTATAATTACTATTTACAGTATATTTATCAGAAAATTTAAATTTTTTTACATTTTTATCGTAATAGATCACTTAAATAAAAATCATAGTAATCATTTCTAATTAACTTTTGGCGTTTAAAAAGATTCTACAGTGGAAATATTCAGAATTTAATTAATGTTAATGATTATATATCTAAAAAGTTATTCAATTTAGCCTATTATAAAAAAAGTTATAGCATTTTTAAGTTGAAAATTAAAAATTGAAAATCGAAAATTTTAACACAAAAATAGCGTTTTTTAAAATACGTCAGCCGTTTACATGCAGAAGTTAAAGTGTCGGGACAAATTTAAATTTTATAGTACATAAAATAAGCTTTAATTTGATATATGTTTAAAGGACACAGTATTTCCGGATCATTTTCAAAAATTAAGTTGAAAAAGTTAGTTTTTGTAAAAAAGTTGCTATTTTTAACCCCCCCCAATGAGCAGGTAATGTGTTAGATTTTCAACAAAATGATATCAAATGAAAGGGAAATATCTAAGATTTTAGTATAAAAAAATATTATGTTAATTTGATTATTTTTGAAAAAGTTATGGAAGTTTTAAGAAAAAAATTGAAAAAAATGAGAAAATTTACCGATTTTTAAATTTGTAATTTTTTTGGATATCTCCCCCATTTGCGGAGAACGAGGGAAAATTTTTCAATTTTTAAGGGTAATGTCTTCAACTAAATACGATTTGTGATCTTTTGACGTATTGTTGAAAGAAATAGGTCCAGTGAGAGTTGAGAAAAAGTGGCAACAGATATAAAAAAAAAAAAAAAACACATCATAGTAAAATTAATACCTTCTCAGCTTCGCATCGAAGCTAAAAGTTGTAGTAAATAATAAGCTTAATTTTTTTGACAAATGATTACTATAATCAAGTTTAAAATCTTAATAAACAGGTTAAATTTGTTTCAAGCATTTAAAATTTTGTAGAACTCTTTTAGATCATGATTAAACAATTTTAGAAAGTTTTAAGAAAAAAATTATATTTGTTTGTATTATTGCTTAATTACTAATTAGTAATAATCACAGAAACTATATGTGATGAAACAAATATAAAACAAATTTGGAATCAGAAGCAAAATTTCTTATAGGATTCATCTAAATTTGGAAACCGAAATTATTGTAAAATGATTTAAAAAGTGATCTATAATATTATGTAAACTGTAATCATGATGCTAAATTTTTATTCATAAGTTTTTCTTTTCATTCGCTATCCCACACTCGACATGTGTAGTCATTCTTAACTAATTAAACTAAATTTTTCAATATAAAACCCTTGAATTTGTGTTTAATATTTTATTATGTAAACTTTCACAAAATTTTTCTGTATTTAATTCCTTTTCCGGGTATGGGCTAATTCCCTTAAGAACAAACTAGACTATGTAAGTTATTTTATTTATTATTATTTTTGCCGCAAACTGTCCAAATCACAAGCCAAATAGCAAGATTACCCCTTCCTTTCAGTCTCAAATATTTAAGGTCACCACAATTAGCCCACCACTACTGTCTCTTTTCAATGATAAGCCAAATTTCACTTCTCTACTATTTCATTACTATGCTAATCGTACCGTCGTCAAGTTTCGCCACCTCAATATCAATAAACACGTCCTTTCACATAGTAAAAATTATGTTAAAATTCATATTGACTTATTAGTAAAAAGTGATCAATTTTCATAATATATTACCTTCATAATTGAATTGATTATAGTCATTTGAATACTTATCACGTAGCTTCTTAAAGCGATCGTCTAATGTTTGGGTATGAAACAATTTACAATTCCAAATTACTTCTTTTGCATACTCATTGGATACTGTGCCATTATTTGTTTTATCTCCCTTGCGGAATTGTTCGTAAAAAGCTTCTTCATGAATTATCATATTATTAAATATGAGCTTAAGGCTATTTAAGAGATCCAACATTACATCATCTAAGTAAATTCCAAAAAAATAATATTAATATATAATTTTAACCTAGTATCAAAATAAAAAAAACCCAGCACAGGGGGGTCGCGGTACAGTGATGCCATGGTATAGTTGGATCAAGTATAATGATATCTAACAGTGATTAAAATCACTATCAAAAAAAAAAGCTTCGATGGAAATCTTTAGATTGTGTTTAATTAAAAAAAAATGGGTGTATTATTGCAAAAGCTACATGATTTACTAGTTCCTTATTAATATCCTGATTAAGATAAAGTATGTCGAATGAAAAAGGGATTATTAAAAACTATTATTGCTCATAAAAAAATTGTGTTGATCCATACACTTTTCAATAAGTTATAGCATTATAAAGTTAAAAATATAAAAAATAAAATCGAGAAAATTCACACGAAAATAGCATTTGGTAGCCATTTTCGCCGTGAAGACAAGTCCAGAGGTCAAATTTTTTTTTCAAATTAAAGTATATTACATAAGCTTCAATTTAAGATATATATAAAATTGTTAGACCTTCCGGAACACTTTCAAAAGTTCAGTTGAAAAAATTCTACTGTCTGAATGCATTTTTTATATTTGAAGCCCCCTGGTATATAGTGAAATAGTCTGATTTAAAAAAAAAGTAAGTCCAATGAAATATGTATATAAATACTACTTCTCATAAAAAAATTGTATTGATCCATACATTTTTTAAAAAGTTATAGCCTTTTAAAGTAAAAAATGCAAAATATAAAATCGATAAATTTCATACAAAAATAGCATTCGGTAACCATTTTCACCATGAAGACAAGTCCAGAGGTCTAATTTTTTTTAAATTAAAGTATATTACATTAGCTTTAATTTAATATATATATAAAAGTGTCAGACCTTCCGGAACATTTTCAAAAGTTAAGTTGAAAAAGTTAATTTTTTGTGAAAAAGTTGTCATTTTAAATCCCCCCCTGTGGGCAGATAAAGGGTCAAATTTACAAAGAAAATATACCAAATGATAGGTAAAGACAAGCATCTATAAAGAAAAAAAATTATATTGATATGTTCATTTTTGAAAAAGTTACGGCAGTTTTTAGTAAAAAAAATTGAAAAAATTTCGAAAATTAGCGATTTTTAAATTTGTAATTTTTTTTGGAGGTTTCCCCCATTTATGGGTAACGAGGGATTTTTTTTTTCAATTTTTGAGGGTAATGTCTTCGACTAGATACGATTTGTGATCTTTTGACGTATCATTGAAAGAAATCGGTTCGGTGAGAGCTGAGAAAAAGTGGTAACAGACACAAAAAAAAAAAAACATCTTAGTAAAACCAATACCTTCTCAGCTTCGCATCGAAGCTAAAA